CTCCCTACCACAAGGATGGGGTAATGGAGGGGCATTTCACTGGGATCCTCATTTCAGCAGGGACCCCAAGATTGGAATTCTGGGAAGGGTCAGATGGAGTCCCTTGCCTGGCAGGGCCAGGCCGGGCCAGGCTTGGAAAGACCTGGAGTATGGACTCAGTGGTGGTCCCTGCTTCAGTGGGAGATGGGCAGTGAGCATCTGTTCCCAGGGATTAAAATAAATCGAGGTAAATTAGGATCTTGCTGGAGGCTGACTGAAAGTGGGGTGCGGAGGAGGGTTGGGGGGTGGGCGGCCCCTCCATCTGCCTCAGATCCCAGAATTCGCCTGCCTCATCTGCAGTAGGTACCAAGAGGTAGCTTCCGATGGACCTGCCTCACTGGTGACCTTGGACAGATGACAGACCTCCCTGAGCCTTTATTTTTAATTTTTTTTTTAATTTGAAAATGAGGTTGAGGCTTCAAAGCTTGTACTCTACTGATTCTGAAACCCACCTACTCCATCTTTTGCTAAATTGTGACTCCACCCTTTTGCTAAAGATGGTGGTCAGAGGAGAGAGAGCGATAGGTTTGGAGGTCCCTCCATATGCCTTGCTGGCCTCAGAGCCTCAGTTTACTGCACTGCAAAATGGGCAGACGGTCACACTCTGGCATTGCTGAAAGAGTTGCTTTGCCAGACAATAAAATGTATTACCAAGCTGCTATCATCAGAACAGGGGCTCTTCCACCCTCGTCACGCTGGCGGGACTGCCCGGGGCATATCCTGACCCACATACCTTCACCCACGCCAGGGGCAAGCCAGTACCTAGATAGGATCCTGGGTAGGACGAGATGGGAGGCACTGGGCCAGTCTATCCCCTGTCTCTTTGGGCTCTGTCCCTCTGGTGGGGGTGAAAGTCCAGAGTTCCCAGGTTCAAATCCAGCTTTCCTGTGAGTGGCTTTGCCCCTTTGCACCTTGGTATGTTCTTCTATGAAATGGGCTGAATTCCCCTTGGAGGATCAGAGCAGACTGGCAGAACGGGAGCGCTGTAAATGCAGACATTGTAATACTATAGTCATTATCATACAGTGTTATAACATTACCATATTATAATTATAATACTAATTGTAATATTAATGAGCATAAACAGGGTCAACAGCTGATTCAGGTCAGGGCAGGATAGGAAAGGAGGAAATCTGCAAGGGTATTGCCTGCTGTGTTTCCAGAGCTCAGTAGTCAGTTGGTGCTCAATAGGTGTTGGCCAAGGAAAGTGATGGAGAGAGAGGAGACAGCAGGGAAGACTGAAAAATTCCTGAGCAGAAGCTCAGAGGCTATTCATGACCCAGTTACGGTATGGCATGGGGCCACTGCCTCAGTGGCCTCACTGAGGGTGATGGTGGAGTCGAGACCCCACCTCCAGGCGCCACTGTGAGAATCAAGCCAGACTGGTAAACGGGCACAACCCTGGTGGCCAGCCCTAGAGGGGAGCAAGTGCATGACAGACCTGGTCCCTGAAACAGCACAGCCAAGAGGCCGGTCACAGGAAAAGAAGAGGAAGACCCCAAACTGGCCCGAGTCCAAGGGAGAGCAAAATGATCGATCCTGTTTTGCAGAAGCCTAGAGACCCAGAGAGGTCAGGGGCAGCCCGAGGCCGCCTACTGAGAGGTCAGCGGTTCCAGACAACCCGTCAGGAACGGGAGCCCTGCCTTCTTTGCTGACTTGGTTCCTGTGTTGTTTTATCTGCTCCCGGGCCTGCTCAAATGCTGAACTGGCGAGAAACCCCAGGGTTTTGGGAATTGATGCTGGAGAGGCTGGATCTCCAGGCGGCGCCAGGAGCTTGTGTCAGCCATCTCTGGGAAGGACTCTGTTCCTCACCTCCAGCAGCCAGAGGATGGGGGCATCCGGGTCAGCTGACAGCCTGCTGTGTGACCTTGGGCAAGGACCTGTCCATCTCTGGGCTTTGCCCTGGCACTGAGGAGGCTGGGAGACCTGGGTTCTCACAGGGCTGACTTCTCCATCAAACACAGTGACCACCATGTCTCAGGCACAACCTTGGGGTCCATAAAGGTGTTTTAACTTCTTTTAAAATCAGAAGGGGAAAAAAACCAGGCTTTGGGGTCAAAGAAAACATTTAATATATGGTATTAATATATTCATTTCTATGTCAAATGTAGTTGTAAAAATAGTTAAAATTCTCTTTTTAGTGGAGGAAGGGACCCTGAAAGCAAAAATGCCTCAGGCCCATGGAAGTCCTCATGCAGCCCTGGGTTTGAGTCTTGGTGCTCCCATTCACAGGCTGTGCAACCTTGGGCACGTGGACTCCCCCCTCTGAGTCTTGGGTTCCCCGCCCCCACCCAGTGAAGCCGGCATCACTGGCCCAGCTAAGAATGGTGAGATGTGGAATGTTTAGTCTACATGGTTGGTGCTCAGATTTGTGGGTACTATTATTTGACAGTTGCTATCAAGATTATATTTGCTCACTAATAATAGCCCCAAGGTGGGGGCCTCAGCTTTCCCCACCCAGCACCTGCGCAGTTCTAGGGAGGTCCCAGGGGTGCTGGTCTGGCGGGGGAGGTGAGCTGGCGGTTGGGCCATGGGCGGGGCGGGGTGAGCTTCCTGTCCCCCAGGCACAGGGGCCCCAGCTAGCGGAAGCGGCAGGGGCCACGTGGTTATCTCCCGGTCCCCGTCCTGTCTCGGGGCCTGTTCCCACTCGCTGTCGGGTGAGTTTGAGCCCAAGCCAGGAGGCCCCCACTGCTCCTCCTTTCCCCTCTTGGGGATAGAAGGGAGACCCTCCTACCTGGCCCGGGTTTCGAGAGAAACAGCAGGTGTCACTTCCTGGGCCTGCGCAGGGTCACCCTTTGCTCTGCTACTGTGCTCCCCCACTTTACACCCCTGAGTGGCAGGATGGATGGCAGGGCGGTCGCGGGAATATGGTGAACCAGAGCCACATGTGGTAGTTTCCATCAGGGGTTCTTCAGCAGACAGGTCATAGTGACCTGGGGCCAGTCAGTGACCTCTCTGTGGTTCAGTTTCCTCATCTGTAAAGTTGATATTGAGCTCCACGTTGTGGTTGTGAAGGTTGAATGAATGTGTGGTGCCTGAAAAGAGCTGGACACAACGTCACACTCACACTGGTGCTCAGTGTATGTGTAACGGGGAGGGGCAATCTAATGGGAGCTGTAAAAACAGTCGCAAAGATTCTTGGTTTCGGGGGAACTTAGGCCCTCTGGCTCCTAGGATCTTCTAGACCTGTACTGTCTAGCGGAACTTCATCTGTGCTGTCTAGTACAGTGGCCACCAGCCTTGTGTGGCTACTGAGCCCTGGAAACAAGGCTGGCACAACTGAGGAAGTAGGAGGCTAATTGTATTTAATTTTATTTAGTTTAAAATTAAGTTGCAAAAAATAAAATAAAATAAAATAAAGTTGCCACATGGGGGCTAGTGGTTCCCATTATCAGTTAGCATAGTGCCAAGGGATTTGCAGATGCTCAAGGTCTAGGTCATGGCCAAAATCTAAGAAATGAGATGGGAATTTAGGGCTTTTCCCTCTTGGGATGTCAGCTTTGTATGTCTTCAGTTAGACTAGGTTTCCTCATGGGCTACACTGGGGCCTGGAATTTCTCAGGGGTCCCAGCGCCGCCCAACACAGGGTGGTGGTGAAGAATGTTTGTTGAATAAAATAATTGTTTGCTTGGTGAACTCCTATTCATGCTTTAAAACCCCAACTCCCATGCCCTCTCCTTTAGTTCAAGTCCCCCAGCCAAATCATCTCACAGACCCTGTTACTGTCCTGGCCAGGTAGGCACATGGTGGGTGCTGGGTGACTTACAGAAGTCACCCAGGACGCTAGCTGATAATGGGTCAAATTAAACTCAAGATTAGAAAACTGCAGCTTAGAGAGGGCAGCCTTGCCCAAGGTCCTTGCTCAGTCCTTTCTAGTGAGGCCCAGGGAGCGTTCGCGTCCCTGCGGTCACCAGCCCCGTCTCTGCTGCTGCCGTGCCTCCTGGGCTCCCAGCTGCTGCTGAACTGCCCTCGGGGTCATGAATTATGGATGAGGCTTGTGGGCTCCAGTGACAAGCCCAACCTCGACAGCATGCCAAGGACACCGAGTGTCCCTCCCTCGCCTGGTGGCTTGGCTCATCCCCTTCTCCTGGGAGGCCTGGGGTCCTCCAGTAAGATCTCTTCCAGGCGTTTCCTCGTGTTTTGCAGATGGGGAGACTGAGGCACGGAGCTGGACAGTGACTCAGACACCTACCAGGTGAACACAGTGGCTTCCAGGGGGCAGGGTGAGGACTCATGGATGCACCAGTGCCTGCCAGGTCACCATGGAGAGGGTTGAACTTTCTATCCCAACAATGTGCATGACATGGGGACTGTTGTAGAGGGATCCGGGAGACCCCGAGGGGACCTTAGGGCCACTTGAAGGACCCCAACGCCCAGGGGGCCGATCACAGTCCCAGCGTCCACCTCTCACCTGACCCTTTTCCGACAGGAGCTGCCCAGAGTGGAGCCGAGTGTTCACGGGACTCAGCTGACCCAAGTGCAATTCCACTGTCACTTCCTGGCTGTGTGACCTTGGCAAGTAGCTTGAGGGGATTCAGTTTTTCTGTCTCTGAAATGGCCCAGAGCTTTTCTACCCATCCCCCACCATGAACTCCTCTTCATGCTTAAAAACCCCACCCCCATACCCCCTCCTCTAGTCTAGGCTCCCCCAGCCCCTATCCCTTCATTTAGTTCAGCTCTGACCCCACAGGGCTGGGGGTATCTGTATCCAACTCTGCCCCCTAGGCTGGGAGCTACTTGGGGACCATGCCCAAAGCTGAATCACTCCAGGGACCCTGGCATACTCCCAGCTTTGGGGCTTTTGGTTCCTCCTCCATCCTCTTTCTCCTTCCTCCACAAGGAGAGAAGTTGGAATTTCCCCACCTTAGGCCCTAGCCAGCTGTGACTACAACTCAAATTTGCCTCTCTCTTTGGACAGGCACAAGAAGGAACCCTCAAGGGTCTCCACAGAGGCCATCAAAATGTCGTATTTTGGGGAGTATTTTTGGGTAAGTAAGATTCACTCTTATTTTGGTGGGGTGTCCTGGAAGGGCTTGTGGGGGCTTTTATGGCGATGGAGAAACCTGGTGGCTTGTGGGCAGAGTCCTGGGCAGATGGAGGGTTTGCAGGGGGTAGAGGTTAACGTGGGAGGAGTCAGGCTGGGTTTGAATCTGTAGCCCCAGATGTCATAGGCCTTGTGTTCTTGGGCACGTCACTGCTTGAACAGGGTGACTGAGGCCCAGAGTAGGAATCTCTTACCCGAAGTTGCCCAGCGAGAAGTACAGTCAGGTCTCAAACCCAGGGCCGGGCCGAGCTTCCAGGATCATTCCAGCCAGGGAATTTCCACATCTTCCCCATCCTGGAGAGTTGGGGGGTTTTCTTGGCTTGACCCCTAGGGACCTGCTCACCTGTCTGCTCTCTAGACTGGGGACTTGACTCAGGAGCCAAGTGAGACTGATTTGCTTTTACTTATTCACTCCCTCCCTCCCTCTCTGTCACCAGCCCACACCCAGCCCACTCTGGGAGATGTTGGAGCCCCCAGGAGACTCCCTCCCAATCCTGACCCCAAGGAACCCCAAATCTGGGGGACACAGAGCTAATAAGACCCCTCTAGTCCTACTGAGTCAGGATTGAGCCCAACCTTGGTGTGCCAGAGAATGAGCAAGGAGGCAGAGTTGTGTCTGCCATGGGCTTTGAAGGCTGATTTTTCAGGATGCCAGAAAGGCATTCTGGGCAGGGGGAACAACCGGGACAGAAATAAAAAGGTGTGACACGGGGTGGCCAGTGGAGGGCACAAGGACTCCTCCTGCAGAGCCAGGCTAATGGGGAGACACAGAGGGCGAGCGAACAGGAGAATAGGGTAGGACCCAGGGCAGAAAGCCCCTTCCTCGGTTGCAGGCCCAAAGCTTGCAGAGAGGAAGCCCGTTGCTAGGCAACGAGTTGCCCCTGGCAACAGGCCTTTCTCCCTCCCCAGCTGGGGCTCCTCTTACTAGCATTTGCTTTCTTAAAGGGGCAGCACCCCCTTGCCACCTGCGGGCAGGGGGTAGGGGGGTGGGAGGGATGGAGGGAGAGCTGGACCTCCACCTTCTTTCCAAGGGTCACAGTCCCTGGATTTGCCTCTGAATGGCTGTGTGACTCCATCCGAGGGCTGCCCCTCTCTGAGCCCCCGTTGGCACTTTGTGTAAGGGGGTTTGGCCATTTGAGGATCAGTTGTTGCCCACATTTTGCAGTCCTGACGGGCACCTACATGTATTTTAAACTCTTTTTAATTGTGTGAGGCAGGCAAGTTCACTGCAGAAAATTCAGACTAGCAAAGAGAAAATAGTAGCCACCCCCAACCCCTCCCTCCAAAGATAGCCTGGTACAGAGTGGGTAAGAGCTTTGAGTTTGGGATTTGAATTGGGCTCTTCTGGGAGCACTTGGGCAAGTGACTTTGCATCTTGAAGCCTCAGTTTCTCCATCTGGGAAAGGGGAATGGAGCTCCTACTTCCCCAGGGCTCAGGGAGCACCCTGGAATGTCCGTTTCTCTTTTGTTTATTTACTTATCTGTTTATTGGCTGTGTCTGATTTAGTTGCAGCATGTGGGATCTTTCGTTGTGGTGCAGGGCCCATCTAGTTGTGGCCTCAGTAATTGCAGTTCACAGGATCCAGGGCATGCAGGCTTTAGTAGTTGTGGCAGGCCAGCTTAGTTGCTCAGGGGCGTGTGGGATCTTAGTTCCCTGCCCAGGAATCGAACCTATGTCCCCTGCATTGCATGGCGGATTCTTAACCACTGTGAGGAAAGTCCCCTGTCTGTTTCTTTTAATTAATGTTCCTTTTAATCTATTGTTAGTATTGCTGGCTCTTTGCTGGGTGATCCTGGGGCCCTGACTGATCTGAAGGAGGCTCCATTTGGGAGAGATCAAGTCAGACAAGGATTCCCCAGTCTTGTTGGGTCAAGGCAGGGCTGGTGGCATGGAGGGCAGTGGGGCACCCACGGGGGAAGTGTGAGCAGGAGAAGGACATGATCAAGCTGTATTAGAAAGATCTCGTGGGCTTCCTTGGTGGCTCAGTGGTAAAGCATCCGCCTGCCAGTACAGAAGACACAGGTTTGATCCCTGATCCAGGAAAAGCCCACTTACTGCAGAGCAACTTAGCCCATGCGCCACAACTATTGAGCCTGTGCTCCAGAGCCCGGGAGCCGCAACTACTGAGACCATCTGCTGCAACAATTGGAGCCCTCGCGCCCTAAAGTCCTTGCTCCCCGACAAGAGAAGCCACTGCAATGAGGAGCCTGCACACTGCAACTAGAGAAGAGCTTGCACACCAACAACGATGCAGCACAGCCAAAAAGAAACAAATAAATTAAAAAAAAAAAAAACAGAGAGAAACATCTCTCTGGGCCTGGCTTGAGAGCAAGACTGGTGTCCAGAGGTTCTGATAGGAGACATAGGCTCAAGACAGCCCCTCCCAGGACCGTCGGCTGCCAGCCCAGCCTGAGGGAGTCAGACACTGCTGGGGGTTTGCCAGGTCTGGGAAACAGGCCAGCAGTTGGCTCTGAGTCAGCTCCAGATGCTGGCCTGGGCAGCAGTGCCTGGTGCGGCCTCACCCGAGGATCCCCTGGGCAGGGTGGGCAGGGGGCTGCTGGGGTTGTTTGCTGAGGCCTTACCAATGTGCTTCCCAGGTGGCGCCAGTGGTAAAGCACCTGCCTACTGATGCAGGAGGCGCAAGAGATGTGGGTTCGATCTCTGGGTCAGGAGGAGGGTCAGGGTCAGCCCCCGGAGGAAGGCATGGCAACCCACTCCAGTATTCTTGCCTGGGAAGTCCCACGGTGAGAGGAGCCCGGTGGACTACAGTCCACGGGGCCGCAAAGAGTGGGACATGACAGTGACTAACCTCGTGACTTATTCAACAAGGAGGGCTGCCTTTGGGGTTTTAGAGGACCATGATGTGAATCATCCCATGTGAGAGGTAGATGACTCCCTGCTCCCATCTTAATGAGGAGACACTATAAGTTCGGAGAGAGACATGACTGATCTGGATCGCACAGTGTAGCCCTAGCCCCACCTCAAACCGTGGTGACCCCAGAACCGGGAGAAAAGGGGTTCTGTGCAGGGCATCAGCTAATCTCTGTGCCCCACCCTGCACTGGACATTACTGGGTCCTGAGAGAGTATCAGACCCACATCCTGCTTTGTGGGGTCCTCAGAGAGAATTTTCATGTTGAAGAGAACAGAAAATAAGGCTACAGTGACTTAAGCAACAGGGGTTGTATTAATTCATAAACTTGAAGAGTTGTGCAATAGTGTGGCTTTCAGGGTTGGTTTGGTCCAGCATTTCTACTCAAGATGCTTTTTTTTTTTTTAAAGACTTCACAACCAAGACCTTTGTTGCAGCACACAGGCTCCAGAGTGCCTGGGCTCTGTAGCTGTGGCACATGGGCTTCGCTTCGCCACGACATGTGGGATCTGAGGTCCCTGACCAGGGATCGAACCCACATCCATTGCATTGGAAGGTGGATTCTTAACCACTGGACCCCCAGGAAAGTCCCTCAACACGCTTTTTATTCAGACCCTCAAATTCAGCATCTTTGCAAAGTTCATGGTTTCTGTTTGGTTTCCAGGATCTCCTGTGACCATATAGTCTCTCATTTATGGACAGATACAAAGAGAAAAGCAGAGGGGAAGAGACCAAAGAGAAAGGAGCAAACAGAGGTAGAGAGATACGTACACACTCGCACAGAAAGACAGACAGTGAGAGAGGAAGATAAGAGTGAATGAGACTGCCTCTCTCTCAACTATAGTACAAGAATCCCAGTGTCTCTTCTAATTAGGCCAAATTAAGGTCCATAAGCCAATCCTTAGGACCAGGGGGAAATGCAGCTGGTGATTGGCTCAGGCCAGAACCAATGCCTACAGCCAAGAGGATGGACTCCTGCCAGTTAGCTCTTCAACCCAGGCCCCTGTTGCTAGGCGTCCTTGATGCCCTCTCCATCCCCTTTCTCAATCTCCATCCTCGCCCCCTGCAGGGAGAGAAAAACCATGGCTTTGAGGTCCTGTACCACAGCGTGAAGCAGGGGCCCATCTCCACCAAGGAGCTGGCAGACTTCATCCGGGAGAGGTGAGGTTCCCCAAGCCCCATCCATCCCCGTGGCCAAGACCTGAAGTCCACTCAGCCATGCCCATCTTGTACTTCCACCCAGGCTCTGCCCCATTTTTCCCGTTCCCATCCCACCCTGACAGGGCATCACATTCTGCCAGAAAGAGTCCTGATCCCTGGGGTCTCCAGGAATCAAATGAGCTTGAAGACCCTCCCGACCGACAGTTCTCAACACTGTCAGCCCTGTGCCCCATTTTAAACAATAATCACCAGACTTCTAAGCCCTCCTCTTGTAGAGATGATAATATGACCTACTTACAAGGAGAAATTTGAAAACTCAATCTCAGGCCCTGAGTACAATAAAAGAAAAGACATGTATGATGAAATAATCTATATTTCAGCTCATAAATGCTCCAATGTCCCAGAAAACACAATAAACTCAAATTGCAAGGCAACCTCTGCTCCCCAACCACTCAGCAGCTGAATGCCCGTTGAATCTGGGCAGAGAGTCCAAAGGATTATTAACCAGGTTTTTCCTCTCTGAGGCTGTCATGCAGACCTGTCACAGCCATGCTCTGTTTCATGAGGCTTCAGACCCTGGATCCATCCACTATTGTCTGTGGTACCCCATGGGTGCCGCTGTCAAAAAATACCCCAGTGGATAACTAGTTTTAACTGGGCACATGGATACCCCAAACAAAACAATTCTATTAGGATGAAAATGTGAGTGAATATTAGGTAGGCATTTAGCAGTGTCTGCCTAGAGGGAATAAAGAAATCTGAGTTTATCTTCTGCAATTAAATGAGACAAAGCGCATGAAACATTGATACTATGTGCTCAAAATTTTGTTTACTTGCTCTTGCTGCTACTACTACTACTACTGCTGTTAGTAAAATTTTATTTAAGGATGAAAACCTCTCCCGTGAATTTCCCGAACATCTTCCCCTGCCAGGGGGCTGTATCATTCTCCTGGAGGCTTCTGCTCAGATGTTTGAGATGGGGAAGCTGAGGCCCAGGGGTATGGGGCCTGTCCCAAGGTGCCAGGACCCTCCCCATCCTTTCCCTGTCCTCCTACCCAGGGCCACCATCGAGGAGACCTACTCGAAGGCAATGGCAAAACTTTCCAAGCTGGCCAGCAACGGGACCCCCATGGGGTGAGTGGGCTGTGGGTGAGGCAGGAGTCGCTGAGGGTGTGGGGGTCCCTGGGGGAAACAGGCTGCTGCCTTTGGGTGTGCATCTCTTCACACTTGTGATACGTGGGGCAGGGAGTCATGCCCCTGTTTATGGGCTAATTGGACAGAAGAATATGAATGTATATCTCGGTGGCTCAGTGGTAAAGCGGCTTCCCAGTGGCACTAGTGGTAAAGAATCTGCCTGCAATGCAGGAAACTTGGGTTCAGTCCCTGGGTTGGGAAGATCCCCTGAAGAAGGAAATGACAACCCATTCCAGTATTCTTGCCTGGGAAATCCCATGGACAGAGGAGCCTGATGGACTATAGTCCGTGGGATCGCAAGAGACAGACACAACCGAGCATGCATGTACAGTAGTAAAGAACCTGCCTGCCAATGCAGGAGACACAGGTTTGATCCCTAGGTCAGGAAGATCCCCTGGAGAAGGAAATGGCTACCCACTGCAGTATTCTTGCCTGGGAAATCCCATGGACAGCGGAGCCTGGCAAGCTATAATTCATTCATTCATCCAGTGGATATTTACTGAGCCCATACTGGGTGCCAGACCTTGTTCGAGGCACCAGGGGGCCCAGGGGCAATCAAAACAGATCAAGCCTCCAGTCACCTTCACGCCCTGTTCATAGGGTGTGCGTCTGGGATATGTGATAGATGTTAACCACAAACACGAACCAAGTCCTTTCCCAGAGAGAACAGTGCTAGGAAGAGAATGAAATAGGAGCATTAGAAGGTGGGTACTATATCTGGAGCTGAGATCTCAGTAATGAGAAAGAATCAGCCGTGGGGGTGTCCGAGGGACAGAGACCCAGGGAGGTGGCTCAGCTAGTGCAAAGGCCCTGAGGCAGCAGCACACTTGTGCATGTTCAAGGAAGAGCAAAGAGGCAGGCCTGGCTGCAGGCCCGGGGCACCGTGGAGATGAGGTGGGGGAGAAAGAGAGGGGAAGGGGAGTATCAGGCTGGGCCTGGAGTCCAGAGAGAGGACAGCAGGCGTCAGCCTAGGTTTAAATTCCTGCTCTGATGTTCATTTGCTGAGGGGCCCTGGGTGAGTGATGGGGCCTCCCATGCCTCAGTTTCCCTGTCTGCTGCAGGCCCACCTTGCGTGATTGCAGTGGAGATTAAATGAGTTCATATATGTTCATGTTTAGCAGGGCCCAGAACACAATGAGGTATCTGAGCCAAAGCCAGCCATGAGGGGTGAGGGGTCCCTTGCTGAGGGGTTGGGGTTGGGCCTGCTGGGCCCTGGGTGTGACCCCCACCTCTCTGTTTCCAGGACCTTTGCCCCGCTCTGGGAGGTCTTCCGAGTCTCCTCAGACAAGTTGGCACTCTGCCACTTGGAGCTGACGCGGAAGCTTCAGGATCTCATCAAGGATGTGCTCCGCCACGGGGAGGAGCAGCTCAAGGCGCACAAGAAGGTGGGTGCCGCAGGGCCGGTGGGTGGGGAATGGCTGTGGCTCCTAGGATCCCAGGACTTCTGGGGGCCTTGGAACCCCAGCTCCTGGTGTGTGTCCCTGAGGGTTCTGTTAGTTCCACAACATCAAACTCGGAATCTCACAGACCTGAGCATTGTTGAATTTCAGACTCTCAGAATTCTAAGAGCAGGGGGTCTGCAAACTGCAGCCAGTGGGCGATGGCTAGACCATCACCTTGAGCTATGAGTAGTTTTTCTACTTTTAAGGGATTGGGGGAAAAAAATCAAAAGAAGGATATTTTATGATGTGTGATTATTACAGGACATTTAGACTTTAATGCCAGTAAGTAAAGTTGTGTTGGCCACAGCCATGCCCATTCACGTTCAGATCTTCTGTGGCTGGCTTATTTGAACTGCAATGGCTGAGTTCAATGTCAGATTTACCACCTGATCCTTCACACCAAAAGTCTGCTGACCCCTGATCTAGAGCGTTAGAAGCTACAGATCTTATTTGACATTTCTAGACTCTTTTTTTTTTTTTGGCCCAAACTTTATTTTTTAAATGAAGTTGTTTTAAATATATTTTTAATTGGAGGATAATTGCTTTGCAATGTTGTGTTGGTTTCTCCCATACAACAACATGGGGCTTCCAAGGTGGCTCAGATGGTAAAAAATCCACCTGCAATGCAGGAGACCTGGGTTCGATCCCTGGGTCAGGAAGATCCCCTGGAGAAGAGAATAGCTACCCACTCCAATATTCTCGCCTGGAGAATTCCATGGACAGAGGACCCTAACTGCATGGGGTCACAAAGAGTCAGACACAACTGAGTGACTAACACACATACATATATATTCCCTCCTTCTTGAACCTCCCTCCCACGCCCACCCCATCCCACCCCACTATGTCGTCACAGAGCGCTGGGCTTCTGGATTCTTAACAAAACTAAAATCCTGGAAGAGCCAGACCTTAGACTCTCAAGATTCCAAAATATTTGAAGCTTATAAATCTAGAGTCATAGAGGGTTTGCATTTACAGAGCCCTAGAATCTGCAGTTTTTAACCCCCATTAAAGAAAAGAGTTGTAGTACTTCATACTATACACTTAAAAATGGTTAAGATGGCTCTTTCCCAGCTGGAACCATGGAGGGTGCAGAAGAGAAGAAAACAGAAGATTCCTGCTGTGCCAGAAACCCTTAAGAAAAAGCCGAAGAATTTCGCAGAGCTTAAGATCAAGCACCTGAGAAAGAAGTTTGCCCAAAAGATGCTTCGAAAGGCAAGGAGGAAGCTTATTTATGAAAAAGCTAAGCATTACCACAAGGAATACAGGCAGATGTACAGAACTGAAATTCGAATGGCTAGGATGGCACGAAAAGCCTGCAACTTCTATGTACCTGCGGAACCCAAGTTGGCATTTGTCATCAGGATCAGAGGTATCAACGGTGTGAGCCCAAAGGTTCGAAAGGTGCTACAGCTCCTTCGCCTCCAGCAGATCTTCAATGGCACCTTTGTGAAGCTCAACAAGGCATCAGTTAACGTGCTGAGAATTGTGGAGCCATACGTTGCATGAGGGTACCCAAATCTGAAGTCTGTAAATGAATTGATCTACAAGCGTGGTTATGGCAAAATCAACAAAAAGCTAATTGCCCTGACAGACAACGCATTGATTGCTCGATCTCTTGGGAAATATGGAATCATCTGCATGGAGGATCTGATTCATGAGATCTATACTGTTGGAAAACGTTTCAAAGAAGCAAACAACTTCCTGTGGCCCTTTAAATTGTCTTCTCCATGAGGTGGAATGAAGAACAAGACCACCCATTTTGTAGAAGGTGGAGATGCTGGCAACAGGGAAGACCAGATCAACAGGCTTATTAGAAGGATGAACTAAGGTATCTGCCAGGATTATTTTTGTAATCTGGTCCGTTAATAAACAATTGAAACAAACAAACAAACAAAAAAATGGTTAAGATGGCAAATTTTACATTATATGTTTTTTACCACCACTTTCTTTAAAAAATTAAGGAACAAGGAAGTTTTCTCTGGACTGATATGGAACAATCTTGAAAATGAATTATTAAGTGGAAAAAGCAATCAGTTAAACAGTATGGCCTGTCACCATTTGTCATAAAAAAACGGGCATATTCGCTGATCTTCATGCCAGTTATTTCAGGAAATGTATCATGGTAATAATAGGAGGTTTGATATTTCCTTGTGTGGTCCAGTGGGTAAGACTCTGTGTTTCTAATGCAGGGGGTGTGGGTTCGATCCCTGGTCAGGGAACTAAGATCCCACATGTCTGCCTTGCAGTGGGGAAAAAGAAAAAAAAAAAAGACTTTATAGTTAAAAAAAAAAAAGGTGGGGGTGGGGGAAGGTTTTTACCTGAGCTCACTCCTTAAAACTTTCTGAAATATGAATTATGTGTAAATATTACCTATTTAAAGAGTTTAAATTTTTGAAATTCATAGAATTCTCAGAAAACAAGAATTCTGTAGGAGCTGGAACCCCACAGGTTTGGGAGGCTGGGTATTTCATGGTGTGTACCTGGGTCTGCTCAGGTCCTGCACCCAGCAGGGCCTTCAGGGGGTCCTCATGCTCATCCCCACCCCCACAGTGCAAAGAGGAAGCGGTGGGCACGCTAGATGCCATACAGGTCCTCACGGGGGTCAGCCAGCTCCTGCCCAAGTCTCGCGAGAACTACCTGAACCGTTGCATGGACCAGGAGAGGCTGCGGAGGGAGAGTGCTAACCAGAAGGAGATGGACAAGGTGGGCGCTCAGCTGCAGGTCCCCAGCCACCCTGGCCCGCGCGGACCCGAGGAGTTTGCCGAGAGGTGGCAGGGCGGCCTGATGGGAGAGTGGAAACACAGCACAGAGCCGTGGCCATCGAACCTGCGTGAACCACACCCTGGGCTCCCCAAGGAGTCTACGTGCTGGGGGATGGGGCCAGGGGAGGTGCCCCGGGGGTCGCTTTCCCAACCCCGTGCCCTCACTGTGCCTCCTAGGCGGAGACCAAGACCCGGAAGGCAGCAGAGAGCCTGCGGCGTTTGGTGGAGAAATACAACTCAGCCCGTTCTGACTTTGAGCAGAAGATGCTGGACTCAGCTCTGGTAAGAGCCCGGCCCTGGAGACCTACACATTCCTGGGCCCAGGATGCTGTGGGCCTCAGAAGTCCAGAACCTTCCAAACCCTCGACTCCCAGAAGCCTTAGAATCACAGGCTAAAACTGTACAATTCTAGAGCCAGTTAGCTATTGTTGTTGTCGATGTTGTTATTATTTTAAAGACCAAATCAGTTCTGTGCCTTAATTTCACCATTTGTAAAATGGGGACAGTAATACTACCTGCCTCATAGACTTGTGAAGATTAAATGAGTCGCCATATATGAAATTTTCAGACCAGTACCAGGTGCATAGAAACCACTCTATGATGTATTATTATTATTATTATTGATGAGGTTTTTGAACAAGATGGGGCAGGATTTAGAAGCCAAGAGTCTCCTGACATGTCATGGTGACTGAAAAGCCTGGATTCCTGGTCTAGCCTCTGTCTGTCACCAGCCTTTGGCAAGGCACTGCACCTCTCTGGGTCTCTGTCTAATCAAAGGTTTAAAAAGCAGATTGGGAGTTCAGGATTAAGAATTAGATTTTTTTCTTCTGATTTTGCAGTATTAGAAAGTTGCAAGCAACAGAAATCTTCATTCAAACTGACAAGGAGCCTTATAGGCTCAGGGAACTGAAGAGTTCAGGGTGGGGCTGAGCTTCAGGCATGGCTGGATCCAGGTGCCCAAATGGTGTTGGCAGGAAGCTGTGCCTCTTTGCTTCTCAAATCTGTTTTTCTCACTGAGGGCTTTATTCCCAGGCAGACACACCCTCCTCAATGTTTGTGTGTGTGTGTGTGTGTGTGTGTGTGTGTGTGTGTAGCAAAATAGCCCCCAGCAGCGGCCCCATTTATCTGCCAACTCATTGACTCAGGATATGAAAGTGTTTTTTCTGATTCCAGCAGAAGTCCCAGAGCTCTTACCCAAATCAATCACTGAGGCCATGGGGTTGGGACATTCTGATTGGTCAGGTGGGGTCACTAGCCACACCTTCCCATTTTGCTCCTCCCCTCCTGCCTCAGCGCTTCCAAGCCATGGAAGAGACCCACCTGCGGCAAATGAAGGCACTGATGGGCTCTTACGCCCACTCAGTGGAGGACACCCATGTGCAAATTGGGCAGGTGAGTGGGGCTGGGGGTGGGGAATGAGGCTGGGGTGCTGGGCAAGAAGGCCCTGCCTGGTTACAAATTCCATCCTCCTGGCCCAGGTGCATGAGGAGTTTAAGCAGAATGTAGAAAACGTCAGTGTGGAGATGCTGCTGAGGAAGTTTGCAGAGAGCAAAGGCACAGGCCGGGAGAAGCCTGGTGAGTCGGGGGCATCTATGGGAGTTGGGCTGTGGAGCCACAGCTATGGGGAAGGAAGGGGATTCAAGAGCCTAGAGAATGAACCTCCCTGGGCCTCATTTTCCTCACCAGAAAAATGGGGTTAAAAAAAATAAAAAGAAAAATGGATTGATGGAACTTCCCTGGTGGTCCAGAGATTAAGACTTCTTCCAGTGCAGGGGGTGCAGATTCCGTTCCTGGTCAGGGTACTCCCATGTGCCTTGCAGCCAAAAATCCAAAACATAAAACAGAAACAGTATTGTAACAAGTTCGGTAAAAGACTTAAAAAATAGTCCACATTTAAAAAAATAATCTTTAAAGAATGGACTGAAGACAAATCTAACTCAGCAACCTACAGAGGAAGAGAACTTGATGCCTAATCTTACAGATAGATTGCTTACCACTAGATGCCAGAGGGGCCTTGAATGCCAGGGTCAGCCTTTCAGATGTTTCCCTGAGGGCCCAAGGGAGCCACTGAAGACTGTTGAGCAAGAGGCGCATTTAAAAATGTCCCAGATACAGGGTCAAGGAAGAATTGAGAGCCAAAGTTTTAGGGTCACATCTGGGTTTGTGTCTTTCCTTTGTCACTCACTGTGTCACCTTGGACATCTGTCTTGCTTTCTCTGAGTCTTAGTTTCCTCTTCTGTAAAGTAGGGATGATAGCCCCCAGCTAATGGTGTTGTGAAAGTTCACCGTTATTTGTTCAATCACTAAGTTATGTCTGACTCTTTGCAACCCAGTGAACTGCAGCACACCAGACTTCCCTGTCCTTCACTGAGTTTGCTCAAACTCAAAGGACATCATTGAGTCAGTGATGCCATCCAGCCATCTCCTCCTCTGTTGGCCCCTTCTCCTCTTGCCCTCAGTCTTTCCCAGCATCAGGGTCTTTTCCAGGGAGTCAGCTCTTTGCATCAAGTGGCCAAAGTATTGGAGCTTCAGCATCAGTCCTTCCCATGAATATTCAGGGATCTCTAATTTGATGCAAATAAAGGGCAAAATGTGTGCCTGGCACACATTAGGCACTTTAGTAAATGCTGTTTACACCCTTAGGTCTAGACAACCACTAGGGTCTGTCTTTTCTCCCTCCCGTCTCTATAGCTCAGCACCAGCTCAGGCTACCTCTCATTGTGTGAATCTCCATTCTTATCTTTCACTGGCTCCAGATTTCTCATGCCCTGCTCCTGCTCACATAACCTCTATGGCTTCCCATCACCCTTGGGAGAGAGTCCCAGGTCCTCATCCTGGGACTTAAGGCTCAGCCCACTGCACTGACATTTATGATCCATCCTCTGACCCACCCAAGTTCTACCCAGAAATTCTGGAAGTAGAACTAGCTCAGGCAGTCCCTCCAGTCCATCCCAAGGTGGTGGCCATCCAAGGCAAGACCAAGAACCCTTGGCCCATTCCACTCATGACTATCTCAGAAACTGGTTCAGCATCTTGGCTCATGCCTTGGATCCCACTCACCTTAAGCTCAGGTCCAGGTGCCACTGTGTGGCCAAAGGTATATTGCTGAGTTTCTCAATTTTTTCTGTCTCAGGGCCTTTGGACTTTGAGGCGTACAGAGCGGCTACCCTGCAGGAAGGCAAGTACGTCTGGGCCTGGATGCCCAGGCTGGACCATGGGGATGAGGGAGGCAGATCTGAATGCGAAAGGGACCCCCACCCAGGGCTCATCTGCACCCCTTCGTCTGTTCTCAGCAATGAAACGTTTGCGTGGAGCCAAGGCCTTTCGCCTCCCAGGACTGAGTCGGCGGGAGCGGGAGCCACCTACAGCTGTGTGAGGAAGCACCCCCAGCCCCAGCCCTGGCCCAGGCTACCCCAGGATCCCCCCTCACTCCTAGGCTCTCCCGGAAGTCCCCTGCTTAGGGTAGCCCAGGATAATTTCTATTCCAGGCTAGCCCAGGGTCCCCTCTACCCAGGCCAGCCCAGAAGCACTTCTATCCAGACTGGCTCAGTATTACCAATGCCCAAGCTAGTCCAGGGGGCTACTCAAATGGTACTAGTGGCAAAGAACCTTCCTGCCAATGCAGGAGACTTGAGAGACATGGGCTCAGCCCCTGGGTGGGGAAGATCCCCTGGAGGAGGGCATGGCAACCCAGTCCAGGATTCTTGCCTGGAGAATCCCATGGACAGAGGAGCCTGGCGGGCTACAGTCCATGGGGTCACAAAGAGTTGGACACGAGCGAAGTGACTTAGCACACACACAAGCTCGTCCAGAATTCTCCTTTTGACAAGACTAGACCAGGGGCGGCCTGTTCCAGACCCACCCAGAATTACCCCTGCCCTGGCTGGCCTGGGATTTCTCCCTGGCAGGGCTAGACTTGCTGTTTCCCCCATCTCATCTAGCCTGGTAATTCTACCTTTGTCAAGATGAGCCCAAGAGTCTCTCTGCCCAAACTAGTACCAAATTCTTCCCTATACCCGTGGTCTCCCTGGCTAGCCCAGGGTTAGCCTTGCCCAGGCTAGCCCAGGATTCTTCTCTTTGGCAAGGCTGGCCCCGTTATTTCCCTGCCAAGGTGAGCCCTACATTCAGACTGATTTCCAAGTCCCTCCCCTTCCAAGCTGTTTGAGAATGCCCCGTACTCCGCTAACTCAGACTCACTGGCCCCAGCCCCAAGCTAGCTCCAAGGTTGCACCACCTGCAGGGCTGGCCCAGGACCACAGAGCTACCCAGGGACTGCCAGCAGGTTCCGCATGTGGTGTTGGGGGCGGAGGGGAGGGCGAGCAGAGGTGGGGGAGCAGACACTGACATCTTCTTCTCATCCCCAGAGATCCCCTGGAGCCTGATATAGGGGTGAGTGCCATGGGAGGGGCCAGGCCACGCTGCCCAGTGGGAGGGTTCCAGTCCCGCCTTGCTCCCCACTCCCATGCCCGGAAACCACGCCTGGAGCTCAAGGGGCTAGAGGTCACACAGCTTAGGGACCAGGTTCCTTTCACACATGGGCTGCAGACCCCCATGGACAATGTGGGAGGGACCAATATCCTCCCTGCGCTTCAATTTGCCCCTCAGGACGGGTAGTGGCGTGCTGTCTTCCTCTGAGAACCTGCCCACACACCACGGAAAGATAGTTACTGCTATTGGGGTTCTTTTTTGATCTGAGTCAGGGCCCAGAGGTGGGAGGTGGGCATGGCAGGGTGAGACGGGAGGTGGGCATGGCAGGGTGAGACGGGAGGTTTGGTCCCGGAGAGCCTAACTCATTGCTTGCTTGTTCCCCCCGCCCAGACTTGTCCAGAGGTGGATGAGGAAGGTTTCACCATCAGACCCGATGTCACCCAGAACAATATCCTCCTGGCGCCCTCTGGGGGCAGTTGTTGGCACAGCAAGGACAAAGCTCCATCCACAGGGATCCACCCACCATTAGCAACCCTCTCTGCGTACATCCTTGGTGGAGCCTCCAGTTGTGAAGCAAGCAGATTCAGATGCAGACACTCACCCTGAGGGGTCAGAGCTGAGCCAGAGAGAGAGAGAGGAGGGCTTGGTTATCCCAGAGGGGGGAGCAAAAGGGGCTTCCTGGAAGAGGTGGTCACGTGCTGGGGTTTAGCAGCTGAATAGTTTACTAATTAGGTCAGGGCATGCTCATATGAGGGGCTTCTCAGATGGCACTAGTGGTAAAGAAACCGCCTGCCAATGGAGGAGATGCGGGTTTGATCCCTGGGTCAGGCAGAGCCCCTGGAGGAGGAAATGGCTACCCACTCCAGTATTTTCACCTGGGAAATCCCATGGCCCAGGAGCCTGCTGGGCTATAGTCCACAGGGCTGTGAAGAGTCAGACACGACTGAATGACCGAGCACAGACCCACGCTTGTATGAAGGCTTGTGGGGAGAGGACGATGGTGGCGTGGCAAGGGTGGCAAGTGATGAGAGAGGAAATGGTGCAGTGCCTCAAAGGGGTACGAGCAGGAAGGGGCGGATTTGAGGGCCAACTGGCGGGGACACCAGTGTTGGCGCCTTGACTGCAGTGCACGCACAGCAGAGCCCACCCACCTCTCATCCAGCGACTCCGACTTTGATGACGAGGAGCCCCGCAAGATCTACGTGCACATCAAGCCTGCCTCAGCCCGGGCCCCGCCCTGCAGCCCCAAGGCAGCTGCAGCCCAGCTCAAGGCCACAGCTGGCAGCCTCATCCTCCCGCCTGGCCCCGGGGTGAGGCGTGGGGAGATGCCATGCGTGGGGCAGGGGGCACTGGCTGAATGCCCCCCCGACCTGATGCCACCCCTTTGTCCACAGGGCACCATGAAACGCCATTCTTCACGTGAGTAGTCTGTTGAGGGGTCTTCAGTTTGACAGGAGGCATGTGGAAGGGAGACGGGGCCTGGAATGTGGGTGTGGGTTTGAGTCCCAGCTCTGCCGTGTGACTTGGGGCAAGCTGCTTGCCCCTCTGATCTCACTCTCCTTTAATGACCTGGGGTCATTCGGGACCGCTGAGGCCAGGAGAGAAGCCAAACGCTGGAGACAAGTTGGCGCAGGTTCAAACCCCTCCCTGCCTGATCTGCTGGTCGCTTTGGGCGGCTGACTGACAGCCCCGAGCCTTGGTCTCCTGGTCTGTGGGGCGGGAAGCCGTGCAGGCCTGGAGCCGGGAAGGCTCAGGAGGTCCATCTCTCACAGGGGACACTGCCGGGAGACCACAGAGGCCTCAATCCGCCCCCAGGGCCAGCAGGTGGGTGCCGTGGGGGTGGGGCATGGGGCCCACACGAGTGGGCAGGTGGGCGGCCCGTCCCGGACCCCACCTCTTCCTCCTCCTCTCCTGCTGCCTCCCCAGGTCTCTGACTCCCCCTCTTTCACCCTGGCAGGGAGTTAAGGACGTGCCGTTTGGGGGGACCACTTAGTCATTCATTTGGTGAACATTTATTGGGTGCTTGTGTGTACTCCTGCTCTTCTGGGTTCCAAAGATAAATGATAGATAGATCCTCCTCGGAGTCACATTCTAGTGGCTCAGATTTTTCAAGTAGTAAGTACATTAGAGCATATCTGATGCTTCGAAGTGCTGTGAAGAAACTAAAACAGGGAATGTGATGGAAAATAGGAGTGAGTGACTTTAGTTGGGGCCCTGGTGGAGGGGTAGCAGGAGAGGTGGGGAGGGCCTTGAGCTGACTCCTGAAGAGGAGCAGGACGTGGCTGTTGGGAGATTTGGGGGAACAGAGCTCAAGACCAAAGCCAGGGTATGCCAAGGTCCTGAAGTGGAAGGGAGGAAGCGTGGAAGTGATAGAACGCACCCCGCCTGTCCAATCCGTGTCCCCAGCTGTGCGGAGAAGCTGCAATCGGATGAGCAGGTTTCCAAGAACCTCTTTGGGCCTACCCTAGAGTCCGCCTTGGACCACGAAGATTTTACAGGTGATGGGGGTGGGGCTTCGGGGCATGGGCGTGGCCACAGGAGGGTGGGTGGGGCCACTACACGAGTAGGAGGCTCGGATAGGCGGGTCGGTGGGATGGGTTGGAGGGAGGAGGTGGGGATCCTTTGTGGGTCAAAGGGAGGGTGGGCGAGGTCACAGCCGGAATGGGCGGAGCTGGCGAGAAGGTGCGGCCTTTGTGGGAGTGGGACGACAATAGTGGATGGGCGGGGCATCGGTAGAGACGGACAAGGCCTGCTGAGGAGGACCAGACATTGAATGGGGGCGGATCATCCTCAGCATGGGCGTGGCCTGCGGGAGGATTGATAGGACTCCGTATGAGTGGGGTCTGGAGCTGGCGGCCCCCTTCCCTCCCCCAGGCTCTAGCAGCCTCGGCTTCACCTCCAGTCCCTCGCCTTTCTCCTCCTCGTCTCCCGAGAACGTGGAGGACTCCGGACTGGACTCACCATCCCACGCCGCACCGGGTCCCTCCCCGGATTCCTGGGTCCCACGCCCCGGCACCCCACAGAGCCCACCTACTTGTAGGGTGTCACCCCCAGAATCGAGGGGCACACAGTCCCTGCTGCCATCAGACTCGCCACAGCCCCTTGCAGCGTCCCCGAGCCCCTGGGGGCCGGAGGCTGTGGCTGGAGGAGGTGAGTCCCTCTACCCCTGGTCTGAGAGTTTTCTGAGCTCGGGGGGATGAGAGAGTTCCTAATGTGGCCAGGGCCTGAACAGGGTGTTGAGAGATGCAACCGGGATGCAGGCAGGCAGAAACCCTAATCTCTGCAGGGACATTAATGAGATGGATGTTGAACAAGGCAGGAGGTGACAGGTGCCTGGTGACAGCCCTGGAGGGAGGGGCTGTTAGCAGAGAGGGGTGAAACCTGCTGGGGTTACAGGCTCTCTGACCACTTGGTCGCTGAGGATGGGAGGTGACCAGGGAGGTGAGTCCAGGTAAGCAGTGATGGGGTAACAGTGGGGAGAAACCGCCAGTGGACATGGGGCCCAGAGAAAAGAGGAATCAGGGCGGAGGGCCTGAGAGCAACTGAAAAGAGAGGGAGGGGCAGAAAGAGCAGGAAGGATGGGGCGGAAGAAGCTGGGGTGGGGATGTGTCAAGGCTGGGAGGGAGGAGGGGATTGGGTGTGGGTTGGCTTCTGGGGCCTCAGAGGGACTGCAGGCTATAGCCACGTGAGATCCCCAGCAGTGGAGGTAGAGGGTACCGTCCTTGGCATAAAGAAAGAGCCTGGTTGGAATTGGTTCAAGGGAGGGCTCAGAGAAGTGAGTGTAGACAGATGAAGTTATCAGAGGTTTATTGTAGAATTAAGGTTCTCAACTGGGCATGTTCTGCCCCCTTATTCCCCGGGCACACTTGGAAACGGCATCACTGATGCTTGATTGTCACCACTTGGGGGCAGGGTACCCCTGACGTTTGCGGGGTGGAGGCCAGGGAGAAAGACAGCCCCACCATAGCAAAGGCTCTGACCCTGTTGAGAATCTTGGGATAGACAGCATCGTCTGGGGTGTAGGTGGGCAAGTAAGCGTTTATAGATGGAGCAAAGCAGGAATATTAGGGGAGCAAGGGAAACGGAGGTGTTACACCGAGATTAAATTAGAAGGGTGTGACTCGGACACTGGCCAGGGTGGGAGACCCTCTCAGAGAGGATGAAGGTCGTAGAATTGCCAAATGTTGGATAAAAGGTCTCTGCCAAATCCCCCCACCTGCAACAGTGTGCCTGCCTTCTGAACATCCAGCCCTTGTTTGCATACCTCCATCAATGGGGAGCTCACCCCTTATTGAGCCAGCAGTCTCATGTCTGGGAGACTCAGGGTTGCATATGGTGTCTCCAGTCCTGTCCAGCACCTTCTCTGCAGCCCTAGGACTTCTGACCATCAAGGGGTTTCCCCCTGTAAGCCCGATTCTCAGATTGGGGCTGAATTCTTCTGCCAAGAGGCCCAGACAGCAGCTGAGCCATGTCTGTTCTTATGCTTGTTCCCCAGACTTGATGCCTGTACCTGCTGACCTTGCAGTCAGGGAGGGTCTGGCAGCCCCATCCCGGAGACCGCGCTCCAGGAAGGCATCCTGTCCCCTCATGCGCAGCAATGGGGACCTGGTAGGGTTGGGGGGAGCAGGAGCTGGGCTGGGGGGGTCGCCTCCAGGGTCGGCATCGGGGCACTTCTGCCAGGGTGTTCACAGGCCGGCTTATCTTCTTCCCTTCCAGTCTCGTTCTCTGAGCCCCTCCCCACTGGGCTCTTCAGCTCCCAGCTCCATCGCTGAACGGCCCAGCTTCTCGTCCCAGACAGGACATGGTACGTGGGTCCTCCCTGGGCTTCAGGTTCACCTTCTCCAGTCCGGGTGGGTGGCCAAGTGATAGAATGGAGGCTTTGTCAAAGAGGGCGGGAGATCGGGAGCCTGGGACCTGTGCTCACTCTGTCTGTCGCCCATTCCCTCCCTGCCACCCCCAGGAGTCTCCCGGGGTCCCAGCCCTGTGGTCCTGGGCTCCCAGGATGCCCTGCCCGTGGCCACTGCCTTCACTGAGTACGTCCATGCCTACTTCCGTGGCCACAGCCCCAGGTACACAGGGGTGGGGCAGATGGTAACAAGCAAACAGGGCTTCCTGGGAGCTGTGCATCTGGGTTCCAGCAGGGCCAGTGTCCAGGGGTGTTTCATGATCTGCTTTACCCTGGAATGGCCTCAAACATGGAGCTGAACATCTAGGCCCATCCTGAGAGCAATAGGAACCATAGAGGGTATTTGAACAGGGCTAAGGCATTGATGTGGGCTTCCCAGGTGACTCAGTGGTAAAGAATCCACCTGCCAAGCAGGAGATTCAGGTTCCCTGTGTCAGGAAGATCCCCTGGAGAAGGAAATAGCAACTCACTCCAGTATTCTTGCCTGGAAAATCCCATGGATAGAGGATCCTGGCGGGCTACAGTCCATGGGGATGCAAAGAGTCGGACATGACTTAATGACTGAGCAGGTGCACGCACACAGGCAGGCAGACAAGGCACTGATGTAGCCCTGGTTTAGAGGAGCTCCTCCGAGGCTGCTGTGGGCATCAAACTGAAGGGAGCAAGACCAGAGGCCAGCCACAGAGCGGGAAAGGGAAGGGTGAATTGAGGGACCAGGGATAATCTGGGGGGTGTGCCCAGCTGAAGACACCATAAGATCAAGCCACAAGAAGAGAGTATCAGACCCAAAACCCAAGCTGAGGACTGAATGTTTTGCTTTGAGCTTCCTGGTGGCCTAGGGGAAAAGAGACGTGGGGAAGGGAGTGTCCCTGTCTCCTTCAGCTCATTGTGGATTCTTCCTGGTGTCCAGATTGCTGTCCAGGCAGGGACACAAGGGGAGGCAGCTGGGGCTGGGATGCTGCCATGGTCAGGGCCTTGCTGATTCTGATGGACCTGGTGAGCCACAGGCTACAGTGGAGCTAGGAGGGAGGGGAGGATGAGGGACCTGGTAGAGCCCTAAGCCAATGCCCAGTTTCTTCAACTCCCCCCACCAGCTGCCTGGCTCGAGTAACTGGGGAGCTGACCATGACCTTCCCTGCTGGCATCGTGCGTGTGTTCAGTGGGACGCCACCCCCTCCTGTCCTCAGCTTCCGCCTCGTGCATACAACCCCCATTGAGCACTTCCAGCCCAATGCTGACCTGCTCTTCAGGTACCATTAAAGGAAGGGGTGCAAAGTTAGGTGGTACTAGGGGCTGGTGGAGGCCAGACGCTCCCCGGCTCTGAATTTCTGTTCTGCCTCCTGGGATTTGCTGTGTGACCTTGGGCAAGTCACTCTCCCTCTCTGAAACTCACTTTCCTTCCCTCTTTTGCTTCCCACCACCCCCCTTTCCTTGGAGTTACACTTTATTGGTCCCAAGGTTAGCCTGGGGACTTGCATCTTTAGGAAGCCTTTGGTGTAGGCATCTCCCAAGGGTTGGGATGATTATTCTTGGTCTCTGCAGCGATCCTTCCCAGAGTGACCCGGAGACCAAAGACTTCTGGCTCAACATGGCGACTCTGACTGAGACTCTGCAGCGCCAGGCAGAGCAGAATCCAGCTGCCTCCTACTACAATGTGGTGCTCCTGCGGTACCAGGTGGGCCGGTGGATGGGGCGGGGCAGAGTGGGCATAGAGAGGACGGTGGGTGGGGGCAGGGTGAGCAGGCAGCTCTCACTGGTGAGAGCAATGAGAGCAGGGTGAGCTGCGGGAGGCAGGCAGGGTGGGCACTGTAAGGGGGCCCAGACTTTGCTGGTGCAGACGGCTGCATTATGCAAATTAGAAGGGGCCTTTTCCCAGGGCCTGTCCCCAAGACAGTGTTGGCATGGGGCACTCTGCTGCCCTCTGCTGGACATGCCATGTAATACAACCTCATCAACAAAGAGCTCCCTTGGGGTATCGATCGGGAGCCCCTTGGGTGTCACAGGCAGTGCAGAATCAGGTCATTTGAATGGTGGGTGGCATGGCAGGGGCGGCGTGGCTGGAGAGTGTGCAGTGTGGCAGGACAGGGCAGCTCAAGCCACATCCTCTCTCCCGTTCTTGCTCCCCCTAGTTCTCCCGCCCCGGTCCCCAGTCCATGCCTCTGCAGCTGAGCGCCCACTGGCAGTGTGGGCCGACCCTCACTCAGGTCTCGGTGGAGTACAGCTACCAACCCGGTGCCACAGCTGTGCCCACGCCGCTCACCAATGTCCAGATCCTGCTGCCCGTGGGGGAACCTGTGACCAATGTCCGCCTGCAGCCGGCTGCCACCTGGTGAGGGCGAGCGGGAGGAGGGGGGAGGCTCAGAACCTAGTAGACCTCCCTCCGATGCAGCATCTGATGGGTCCACCATAGGCCTGACCATTCACTGTGGGCTCCCCTTGCTCGGGGGCTTCCCAAAGAGGCTTGGGGTTAAAGAATCCATCCACCAGTGCAAGGAGACGCAGGAGACATGGATTCAGTCCCTGGGTCAGGAAGACCTCCTGGAGGAGGAAATGGCAGCCCACTCCAGTATTCTTGCCTGGAGAATCCCCATGGACAGGGGAGCCTGAGGGCTACAGTCCATGGGGTCGCAAAGCGTCCAAGAGGATTGGAGCGACTGAGCGCTCATGCACGTGCCTTGCTTGGAGCTAAGGGCAATATTATTAACAAAAGTAATGTCTGACACCAAAAGCTTCCTACATGTCAGGCTTGTTCTACATCTCTGCATACACTGACTGGCTCAGGGCTTTTAGCAATGATGGTGGACCACCATCATCCCCACTTACGGAGGGGGAGCTGAGGTATACAGAGGCAAAGTCACTTACCGGAGGTCACACCAGGATGTGAACCAGCTGCCCACTCGTGGCCCCGGGCTTTGAGTCACTGTACAATGTTGCCTTTGTTTTGTACAAAAGGTAGAACCTACAACCAAGAAACCAAATTTATAGGACTGAATGCATCACCTAAAAGTGCTACAAGGCTGAGGAGCCTTCAGGAACCAGCTGCTCCACACCCCTGCCCCCATTTTCACACATGGGGAAACTGAGGCCAGGGAGGGGACCTGGCTTTCTCAGGTCATGTTGCCAAGAAGCAACTGAGCTGGGACCCCGGGCTCTGAATGTCTTTTCTGGGAAAGACCTGACCTGATCTCTTGATGCCAGGAACCTGGAGGAGAAGCGGCTCCTATGGAAGCTTCCAGATGTGTCTGAGGCAGGGGGTGAGTTATGGTTGTACATAAGGGCTTGGAGGTCTCAAATGGGAAAGGCTTATTTAAACTAGGGGAGAGGGAATTCCCTGGCAGTCTAGTGGCTAGGACTCCACACTGTCACTGCTTAGGGCGGGGGTTTGATTCCTGGTTGGGGAACTAAGATCCAGTAAGCCATGGGAGGCAGCTAAAAATGTTTTGTAAATAAACTAGGGGAGAACTAGGGATGTGCTGGAGGCAGGGAAGTGTAGGCATCAAGGAAAGCTTAAAATGGCTTTGACAAAGTGGGAAGAGAGGGCATCCCAGGGGATGAGCTCAGGAAGTGCAAAGGCCCTGAGGCAGAATTCCTTTGCAAACCACACACAACCCCAGCAGGACCGAAGGAAAGGGGTGCAGAATACAAGAAGGGAACAGAGCTGCAGATCAAAGGGCTTGGGTGTAGGGTGAGGAGGAGCCCAGGTCACTGGAGGGCTGGGGTCAGGAAAAGGGCACGGCTGACCTCAGACCTCCCCAGGCTCTGGCCGCCTGTCTGCCAGCTGGGAGCCATGCTCTGGGCCCAGCACGCCCAGCCCTGTGGCTGCTCAGTTCACCAGCGAGGGGGCCACTCTGTCCGGCGTGGACCTGGAGCTGGTGGGGAGTGGCTACCGCATGTCACTGGTAAAGAGGAGGTTTGCCACAGGTATGCCCGTGCCCTGTCACTGTGCATCCCCAGAGCCAGGACCAGGCCCGGCTCTGAGTCCCACTCATTGCTTCTGCTAGGATGCAGGGGGAGGGGAGACATTTAGGGTGTTTGGAAAAGACAGGTGGGTGTTGGGGCCTGGAGACTCAAGATGGGGGGTACGGGGGGAGAGATGGGTGGTCAGAGCCCCAGTGAAAGGGATCAAGAAGTATCCTCTATGGGACTTCCCTGACGGTCCAATGGTTAAGACGCCATGCTTCCACTGCAAGGGGCAGGGATTCGAGCCCTAGTCAGAGAACACATGCTCAGAGCAGCCAAAAAAGAAAGAAAAAAAGAAGTGTTCCCTGGCTGCCTGGCGTCCTTGCAAGAACCCACGGCAGGGAGCTGGAAGCCCCCACTGGTGCGTCCACCCCCACCCCCATCCCATGCTTCTGTCCCCATAAGCGGCCGCTGGGGTCCATGGGACAGTGGGAACAGTGAGTTAGAGGGGTGTTTGGGAGAGCTTAGGGGACCCCTTCTCCCCTCACCACTCTGCCTCCACAGGGAAGTACCTGGTGAGCTGTTAGGCCCGCAGAAGCTGACCAGCGTTGCTGGCCCCAGCTCCGCGCTGCAGCCTGGTGCTCGCTGACCGCTTCCTGCCCTCCTGCTGGACCCGGGGGCTCCCCACCTGGCCTCCCCTGAGGCCCTGACCCCACGGAGAGGGTCCCCACACTCAGCTTGGCTGAGCCTGAGAGCCACTCCTGCTCACGCCAACTCCCATGCAGGTCCTCGACCTTTTGATGTTCTTTACATAAACACTCTATTTTCTAATAAAATAAATAACAAGACTTTTCCTGCACCAGGAAGTTTCCTTCACACTTCCAGAATGGAGAGGAAGAAAAGATGGATGGGTAGGAGAGATCTAAAATTCCTAATGATCTTACCACCACCCCTCCACCCTTATCTAGCCAGTGCAGGGTGATATTGAGCAGGGGGGAGCCAGATATGAACACCCCCAACCCCATAGACACCTCCAGTCCTGTGGGCTGGTGAAAGAGAACACACACTAGAGGAACCTAGAGCAGGATGCCAGAAAGACTTCCTAAGCAGAGGGCATTATAAACAGGGCTTTGAGGTTTGAGTAGAAGTTTTCAGGCTGGTGTGGACATGCCAAGCAGAATCATATGAGTTGGCATCCCAAGGGGTGGACACAGGAGGTGCAAAGACCTCGAGGCAGGATTCCTTTGCAAACCACACACAGCCCTGTGGGACCAAAGGAAAATGGCGCAAAAAGCAATTAGTGTGAGGAAGCGAATAGCCCACAAACACTGACTGAGGACTTACAGTCACCTAGGACTTACAGCCACCTACAGCTATGAGCAAGACAAAGCTCTTGAAAGTCATGAGGCTGTGAAGCTGAAAAGACAGGGTTTAGAGCCAGTGGCTGTGTGACTGAGCCAATAACTTGAGCTCCCCAGGCCTCATCTGTAACCTACCTCATTAGGTACTTGTGAGGAGGTCACATACTTTGAAGAGTGCCTAGTACAGAGTAAGTACTCCAGAAGTCCTGGTATTCTCTTATTTACTGGGGGTCCCTGGGTGGAAGGTGGGGACCTAAGAGCAGGTGGGCCAGGAGTGGCCTGAGAGAGGGCCAGGACAAGTGAGGTAGCCAGCATACTGTGGTGGGGAGCAGGTCTGAGCTTGATGGAAAGTCCTGGGTCCTGGTGGACATGTGGGGATCCTGGGTACATGACTCAAGGCCATGGAGATCCCGGGATCGCACCAGCGCACAGACTTTGCTGCCACCAACAGGACTTTAGAGCCAGTGCTGGCGGGTCCTTCCCCTCACAGGCCCTCGGCTCCTCAGCTACAAGTTCATAGCCCACACTCACCCTAGGTTCCCTGAGTTCATGAGCCCCGTAACTTATGCTAGATCAAAGGTCAGAGCCTATGGTATTGTCCCCTCCCTCCAAGTCTTTGCACACGTGCATACATGAGTATGCGTAGTCTCAGTGGCTTTGAGTCCTCCAAAACAGTCCCTTTGCTAGCCCTGTATGGCTGAAAGGCTAGGGTGCCACGTCCACGCTGTGGACCAGAGCATGAGGAAACACTGGTGTTTATCACAGCTCTGAGCATTTGCTGGGTTTGGGTTCTGGCCCATCTGATAAGAAGCAGGAAAATGCTACCTCCTGGTGGTTTTCATTTGCTTTCCTTGGGTCACAAGTGAGGCTGGGCAACCTTTAAATCACATTAGGCATTTCTGGGTACAGCCTCTTAAGTGCCCGGACATCCAGAACCGGTGTGACAGGTGCCTATGTGGGAGGGTGAGTCCCAGGAGGGAAGGTGGGATCCCCATTTAACTGGACAACCCCAGGCAGGCAGCCCTGTCATTTGATGGTTTACAATACCCTGGGCTCCTACACCTTGGAGGCCTCCAGACACAAAGCAATTAGGTGACCAGCTAGAGGCCACCCCCAGTAGGTGAATGGCCTGAGATATATTATTTTTTAATTGAGGTGACATTCACATAACAGAAAATTAATGATTTAAACAATTCAGGGACTTTATTGATGGTCCAGGGGCTAAAACACAGCGCTCCCAATGCAGGGGCCTGGGAACTAGATCCCATATGTCACAGTGAAAAGTTCCCTTCTACAGCCGAATAAATAGATAAAACAATATATATTTTTAAATACAAAAGAATTTAGTGCCATATAGCACAACCTCTATGTTGTCAACTGTCCCCTCTAGTTCTAGAACATTCAGATCACCCCAAAAGGAAACCCATTCCCATTAGCTGCCACTCCCCATTCCCTCCAGGCCCTGGTACCTACTAATCTGCTTTCTGACTCTAGAGACTTGCCTGTTCTGGACATTTCATATACGTGGTTCATACATGATGTGGTCTTTCCAGCCTGGCTTCTTTCACTCAGCATAGTTTTCATTGTAGCATGTGTCACTGCTTTCTTCTTTGTTATGGATGAATAATATTCCAGATTGTTTTCATCCACTCATCCTTTTATGGACACAGGTTGTCTCCACCTTTTGGTGATTGCCTTGTGCTACTATAAACATGGTGCACACCTTTTTGAACACCTTTTTTTTTGGGGGGGGTGGATACCTAGGAGTGGAATTAAATTCCTGGGCCATATGATGATTCTAGTCCGTATTTGAAACCAAGCCCTCCAGCTCCATGGTTCTACCCTGAAAGGTTTTGAATCCACGCTGGCTGTGATAGACTCCAACTTCCTACCAGGCAGGACCTCAGTTTTCACGTTGCCAGCCGGGCTGGGCGAGCCTGGTCAGCTCCCAGGGCCCACACATTTGGGGGGGGGGTTGGGATGACACAGGAAGGGGGCCTTGCCTGATGTGGAGGGGGATAGGCAGAGGCACACCCAGCAGATGTTGTCTGATCAAGCTCTCCTACCCGGTTCTTGTGGAGAAGGAAATGGCAACCCAGTCCAGTATTATTGCCTGGAGAATCTCCTGGACTGAGGGACATGGGGGACAGCTGTCCAGGGGGTCGCAAACAGTTGGACAGGACTAAAGCTAAAGCGACTGAGCATGCACACACACATGGGGCTTGTGAACGCAGGAAACCCCAGGGGGCCCCATCCAGTAAAAGAGGAACTTTAAACCAGGAAACTTCAACGGCTTCCATAGTTCTGAGATTTGTCATCGTGAGAAAGTGCAAGAGCCAGGGTTTCTGTGGCCCGAAAGTGTTAGTCGCTCAGTCGTGTCCGACTCTTTGTGACCCCATGGACCGAAGCCCACCAGGCTCCTCTGTCCAAGAACTTCTCCAGGCAAGAATACCACAGTGGGTAGCAGTCCCCTTCTCCAGGAGATCTTCCCGACCCAGGGATCTGAGGCGTGAAATGCCCCCATTTGAGGCAGACATTTAATGTCATCGCTCTTCATCGCCCGCAGAGTGGCGCATGCAGTTGCTCTGTGCTGACCTTGCTCCCCAGATCTGTCCCCGCTGGACGAGCCCGGGTGTAGTTCCTCCACGTCACAGATGAGGAAGCTAAAGTGCAGCCAGGACCTGCTCCTCTTCCTCCTAGGGAGGAAATCGCGGTGGGGGAGGAAGCAGAGGACGGCTTGAACCGCCACCTGGCTTACACCTCTGGACCTGGAGCTCTCCTCGCAACCCGACTCATCTAATGTGCCAACACCAGAAAGTTCCCGACACTCAAACGCAGCACAGGCAGGGTTCGAATCTTGGCCAGCCCCAACTCAAGAATCTTCCCATCTGACTTGCAGCTTTGCGAATGCCAGCCCGCGGCACCTGGACGTCTGGGGGCTCCGGATAGTTTATGGGCTTCTGAAATATTGTAACCCCTTGAAGAACCACTGGGATCGACTCGCCTCCTTGCTCCCCCCCACCCCACCCCCGACATACACACACTCTTAATAATTTCTTCATCGAACACACGTGGGTCCAATCCTGGGGCCCTGCGCCTCTTGCACATCTCCAGCCTTGGGGTGTTCACTCTCTGGCTGTGGGCGGGACCCAAATGGGGTCTGGAGCCGGGATAGGGTCGGGGAGGCTAGAAGCCGCGGGGTTGGCGCGATCCCGCCAGTGGAGGGGAAGGGGCGGGGCCGGGAAGAAGGGCGGGGCGGGAGGGAAGTGGGGCGGGGCCGGGGAGGAAGGGCGGGAACTTAAAGGCCGGCCGGAAAACTTAAACCCGGCCCTCCAGGGACGCGCCCAGCTGGTGTGGGGGGTCCCGCGGGAGGCAAGCGGAAAGGCGTGAAGCCTGGGAGGCGGGGCCTCGCGCTCAAGTGAAACTCTTCCTCCTGATCCGGAGCAGGATAAGGGGTCGTAGGCTGGACGCTTGTCTGGGGGTAAGTACTGGGTCCACTGAGAATCTAGTGGAACTCTGGTGGAGGGGCGGAGTCGGGGCTCTAGGGAAACCTGGGCTGGTCCCTGGGTTCGGGTTATCAGCTACGTGTACCCTGAAGTGTGGTGATGGTTTAGTCGCTAAGTCGTGACCAACTCTTACGATCCCATGGGGGCAGGGAGATCGTGGAGCCCCGGGTCTCAATAACCCTGTTGCCCTTACCCATCGGTAATAGTAGTCGCCCGGGTCCCACGGCTGACTCA